TTTTTTTTTCTTTCTTTTAATTGATTTATTTTAATTGAAGGATAATTACTTTACAGTATTGTGATGGTTTGTGCATCGTCATGAATCAGCCACAGACATACATCTGTCCCCTACATCCTGCACCCCCGTCCCGACTCCCTCCCTGCCCACCCCATCCTTCCAGGTTCTCACAGAGTGCCACATTGGGCCCCTGCGTCAAGCATCAAACTCGCACTGACTACCTTCATAAGAAGCTGCCCAACTAGTTCCCACAGTGGGTTTACCACCTTACATTCCCACCAGCAATGCATGAATGACCTTGTTGCTTTGCATTCTCACTTTTGATGTTATTGCTACTTATTTTAGCCATCCTGATAGGTGCATATATTTCACAGTGCTTTTAATTTGCATTTCCTTGATGGTTGATGATGTTGAACACTTTTCATGTGAATATTTGCCATCTGTATATCCTCTCTGGTGATAAATGTCTTTTGACCAAATTCTAATTGCATAGTTTTGTATTGTTTTGTTTTACTATTTGGCTTTGAGTATTCTTTATATATTCTAGATACTAGTCCTTTGTTGGATACATAATTTGCAAATATTTTCTGTCAGTCTGCATTCTTTTCATTCTTTCAGAGAATAAAATATTAATTCATGGATTCTGCTTTTGGTGTCTAGTCTACAAATTCTTTGCCTTGTCATAGATCTTGAGATTTTTATCCTCTATTTTTCTAAAAGTTTCATAATTTGACATGTAAGTTTGCGATCCATGTCTACTTAATTTTTGCATAAGGCATAGGAGTTGGGTTGGAGCTTGTGTATGTTTGTATGCACATACTTGCTTGCATGCTCTATTGTGTCCGAATCTTTGTGGCCCCACAGACTGTAGCCCACAAGGCTCCTCTGTCCCTGGGATTTCCCAGGCAAGAATACTGGAGTGAATCACCGTTTCCCACTCCAGGGGATCTTTCTGACCCAGGGATTGAACCCCCGTCTCTCACATCTCCTTCATTGACAGGTGCGTTCTTTACCACTGAGATACCTGGGAAGTCCCACACACTTGCTTAGGAACATCCAATTGGTCCAGCACCATTTGTTGAAAAGACAAATTTTCCCCCATTGAATTGCTTTGCATCCTGTCAAAATAAGTCAGGAATATTTATACATGTTTGTTTCTGGGATTTTCTCTTTTGTTCCAATGATGTAATGTCTTGGAATTGGGTAGACTGAGTCTTCCCACTTTATTCTTCTTTGTCAGAGTTGTTTTAGCCATCCTAAGATTCCTGTCACTAAAAATAAATTTCAGAAGAAACTTGTCTGTTTCTAAAAAACCCTTGTTAGGATCTAATTAGCTTTAAACAGCCGGTCCCACCCTGAGTTTTTCACTAACACTATCATCAGTCTGGTTTGTTTTTGCTCACTTTCCTTTTTCACGAACCTCTGTGTGCTGGGAGTGGTGCAGGTCATGTGGGACGCAGGAACCACAGCAGAAAGACGCGCGCGCGCTCCTCTCCAGGGATGCAGGCCTGCGGCTGAGCGCTGGCTCGAGAATTTATTTTAAAATGAAATGCTGTTTTCAGTGTGCATACCTGTTGGGCCTTAAAATTCAACATGCCAGTCCACCGCCCTTTATCCTGGAGAGCCAGGGCTCCTGAGCTGTGATCAGACTTGCCTGGATCACTGGAGATCCAAGACACTCGGGCACACAGGAAATGCCCAGGAGAGAAGCCGGCATGAAACACACGCAACCGCCCGGTCCTTTTCCTGTTTCTGTCCCTCAGAATCCTGGATACCTTTGAGAAGAAAAAGTGAGTAACCAAGAGCAAGCCATTCACCGACTCAGTCAGTCGGTCCATACTTGTCCAGTGCTCCACAGAGCCCCACGGCAGGGCCTTTGCAAGAGGCAGGGACTGACTTGGGGGGTGTGTGGCCGCAGGCAAATGGGCCGGCAGGCCAGGAGCAGGCCAGGAGGAGGCCAGGAGCAGGCCAGCAGGCCAGGAGCAGGCCAGGAGGAGGCCAGCAGGCCAGGAGCAGGCCAGGAGGAGGCCAGCAGGCCAGGAGCAGACCAGCAGGCCAGGAGCAGGCCAGGAGGAGGCCAGCAGGCCAGGAGCCTGGGCAGAGAGCTAGTCAGGTTCGGGAGGCAGTCAGTCACAAGGGCCCTCAACCTCGTGGGCACAGGGAAGCCTTTGGACACACGGGGCTCCCCAGGAAGCCGCCCCCTCTCCGGGCCTGGCTCTGAGCAGGCTGAGGAATAGCATGAACCTCGGGGGCTTCTGGAGTCTCTGCTGGGCTAGGGTGCCTGCCCTCAGGCTGAGCAGGTCTGTCGGGGAGAGCCAGGTCGTCCGGTTGAAACAGAGAGGATGAGAACATAGAGTAAGAGGCGTTTCGAGAAGCAGCCCAGGGGACAAACAGGCCTGGAGTGCTGTTCTGGAAGTAAGGAGGTGTGTGAGGGTGAGGGCTTCGGGGGCCTGGGGTCCTGCGGGGGGGGCAGCCCTTCCCCTCCCCGCTCTCCTCCTCTCCTTTCCAGGCTGCACCTTCCCCCTAGGCTGCCCCCTCCCCATCTTTCTGTCTCCCCGCAACCCCCTCTGTCTGATCTTGACTTGAATTTTCTGAGGCACCTTCACTGTGGCTGGGGAAAAGATGCAGACTTCTCCAGGACAAAAGCTCCCCTTCCCAGAGACAAGAGTGGCCAGCCCCCGAGAGGAGCCAGTGGCCACAGGTGAGGAGCCTGAGCTCCCGTGGCAGCATCCTGCCCAGGAAGCCTGTCTCTCTGCCACGTTCTGGATGATGCCCAAAGACAGACACACCGGGGACAGTCCGTTCGGAGATCAACACTGCAAATCTTAGACTGTATCTATTTTTGAAGGATGGGGTGGGCGGGGGGCGGGGGGAGGTGAAGCCAGGAAGAAAGAGACAAAAATGTACATTTTTGAGAAACTAATATTTTTTTTTAAGAAAGCACTCCTCAGTTAGTTCCCTATACTTCTGCGCTATGACACTTCTTTTAAATGATAACACACATTCTTGTTTTAATTTTCAAAGTGCTAAATATTTCACATGCTAGGAATGTAGAGAGCGATAGAATCCATGTAACCATCATTTAAGTTAACAATCTCTGGTGACATTTGCAGCACAGATTTCTCAGACACAAGGCATGAGCATGGGCCCCCAGCCTCTCCTCGGGCGCCCAGCAGGCCTGCAGCCAAGGGGAGAGGCCCCCAGCGACACTGCCACCCCCACCTGTAAACAGCGGCATGTTGCCGCTTTGTGTTCCTTTTTGTCAATTTCAGCAGCAGCAGCAAGCTGTCGGATACTTTTCCGAAAGTAGTATTATTTTCCCCAGCTCAACCTTATACCCCCAGGCCTGGGTCCAGAGGGTGCAAGCAGCGACTGGGGTGGTTCCCATCATCCCTGGGGAGCACTGTGTTCCAGGGGACGCGCCCCAGGCGGGGCTCTGCAGACAGGCCTCCTCCTACTGCCATTTAGGACGCGTCCAGCCCTGCACTTCACAGACAATGCCGCAAGGGCCGTGCCAGGGCTCAGTGCCCCTGGCCTGGCATTTTCTCAGCAGCGGACAATGAGGCTGGAGGTCAGAGGGGTGGGCAGCTCCTGCTCTTTCAGATGCGGCCAAATGTCTCCCTGATGCCTTTGTAGCAGTTTCAACTAGCACAGCAGGAAGAGAGTGCCCGGTCTCCGCACACCTTGGGCCTTGTTTGGGGTCAAACCGCGGCATCTGATACACGGTACGGTTTGCCCGCCAAGAACGAACGTGGGCCTCTGCGAACCTGCCGTTTTGGTTGTGCTCTGTGCGGAGACTCCGCCTGCCTCCTTGGCCATCTGTGGGTGGCTTCCCCTGCTGACCTTGGGAGCCCTTCCTGGTTCTGCAGGGCAGTCTTTGCCATTTACGGGCGCTGCAAACCTTTCTCCCCAGGTCAATGCCAGCAATTTCTGTTCAACTGAAGTTTTTTTTATTTTAATGCAATCAAATTTATCAAACCGTCCTTTCTGCATTTCCGCCGTATTAACAACAGCAACAACAAAAAGGCCTTCCTTACCCGCGGCTCTCCCACCCAGCTGCGTCAGTGTGCGCCTGAGCGCGCGCGGCGGAATCGCGGTCTCGGCGAGCCCTGTGGGTGAAGAGTCAGCAGGCAGCTATGAAACGTGGCCCCGGACAGACGCCCTCTAGAGCCTCTCCCGTCTGATAAAAGGAATGGGCGAAACACAGTTGCTTCGCTGTCTTCTTGCGAGCGAGGATCCCACCCGCTCTGGCCGGATCCCAGCGACGCTCCGGGTCTCTGCAGCCCCTGGGCGCGCTCACACCCGCGTGCACGTGACGAGCTGCGCTCCGGCGTGGAAAACAGGGAAAGCAAAGCGAGTAATGAGAGGCTGAGGACAGTCTGGGCGTCGGTGGGGGTGGGGGGTGAGGGATGGGTGTGTGTGAGCTAAGTTCTTCCAAAGGCTGTCTCGAAGAAACATTTAAAAGAAAAGAAAAAGGAAAAAAAAAAAAAAAACCGGACACCTCTCATCTGTTTCCACTTGCCTAGAGCAGCTCCCGCGGCGAGCGGACCTCCCCGGGCAGCGCGACTGTGCGCGCGCACGTGTGTGCGGGTCGGGGCGCCGGGCCGCGCGGCCGTGAACGCGGAGGTCAGAGCGCTCGTCCACACTGTCCTTCCAAACGATCGCCGACCGCTGAACGAGGGCGCTCCGGTCTTGGCGGCTCCGGAAGAAGGCCTCGGATCACTGGGATCTCCATGCCGTCCGCGGCGCGAGCACCGCCACCCCTCCGCACACCCCCGCTCGGCGCTACCGGCCGGGGACGCGGATGCCGGCGGGGACCTAGGCCCGGGGACGCGCTCACGGCTCGCTCAAAGCGGCTGCGGGTCTGGGTTCGCGGGGGGCAGGGAAGAGCCGGAGCGATAGGAGCAAGGGATGAAAAGAGGCGAAGGATGCTGATTCCTGGGCCGCGGCGCCGGAGAAACTTCAGGAAGCGGGTCGGAGGCGGGGCGTCCGCGGAGAGGATGGGCCGTGTGCGGCCGCTGAACGAAACCGGGAGGGACACGTTAGTGGCCCGCAGTCTGCTAGTCCTCCGACCTCAGGGGCTGGGCCGTGGTGCTAGAACCGGGTCGCGGGCTGAGCCCAGAACGTGCAAAAGAGCGGTCTCCGGTCCAGGGACCCCTCACGCGGCGCTGCCCGCGGGGCCTGAGGCCTTCGGGCAGGTGGAAACTCAGGGGACGCGTCCGCGCTCCAGCTTCCCTGACTGGAGCGGCGGGGACCCTCTGGGCCTCGCCTCCTGCGGTGTTTTGCAGACACACGTGGCCGCATCAGAAGACCGTGTCAGAGCCTCGAAAGGCCAAAGTGTCCAGAGACCCGCGAGCGGGCTCGACCCCGCTTGGAAGGCATTCACGTTTCATTTGACTTAAACTCTGCACAGTTTACAGCGAAGTGTTCCTGTTTCCCAAAAAAGAAAACGCAGACCCGGACTCGCGGCTCTTCTGGTCAGTTTCTGATGCCACTCGTTCCGCAGTCCCCCGGGAAGAGCGACACCAGAGGGGACATGTTCCCTATACATGGAAACCACTTCCACTTCACACGGAAATGCACGAGGAGGAACCACGTAAACTGTGTCTTTTAAAATCTTAATTGACCCCCCCCCCCCCGCACATCCACACGCTCCACGATGGTACCTCTTTTCCCACCCAACTCTGAAAAACTCCCAAGACAGGGCAAAAGGCGGGACGAGAGAGAGGCCGGGTTCGGCTAGGCTTTATTCAAACGCTCCAGTGTTGCTGTCCGTTTGCCCCAATGCAACCGACCTAGGGGAGGCCGGGCCGGGGCGCCCTCGGTGGCCGGGGACGGCGCCGGGCCCACCGCGGCGGGGACGAGGCGGCAGCCGCGCAGGCCACAGCGCCCCCTCGCCGCCCGCGCGCACGACTTCGGGCCGCGTCGCCGCTCGGCCTGCCCGCCTCTCCTGGGAGCCCCTGTCAAGGAGTGGAGGGTGCCTCGGTCTGCGCCGCCGCAGCTCTCCGAGGAGGACCTAGAGCCCCAGGCCGCCGTTTCCCGGAACTCGGCCTCCAGGAAACCGCGGGCTCCTGGAAACACGAGTGTCCACGCCGACTCGTTCCAAAAGCATCGGCCACTGTGGGGACAAGAAACAGAAATGTGACTCTGTTAACCCTCCCTTTTTTTTAATGCAACCCTGGGGCAAAGTGGGAGGGGGGCGGAATCCACCGTAACCCCGAAACCGAACTGCTCAGATCCATCGTTCGTGTGAGCGCGCTTTCAGGGCACGCACCCGGTTGGCCTGAGCGCCGGCCCTTTCTCTTTCATCCCAGTGACGAGGGCAACCGAAAGTGACAAGAGGCCCAGTGTCCATCCGGACCCGGAGCTCCACAGGCCTGAACGGCCTCCTCTCCCGTGAGCGGCGCATCCAGGTCCTGCTCCCCGAAAGCGGAGGCCGTGGGGCCCGGGCGCTCCCCGCGGTGACCCGAGAGGCAGTTTCAGGATTCCAGGCCACCCTCACAGGCGGCCGCGCGCCCAGCCATCGCGTTGCGCCCAACACTTGCAGCCTGTTCTTTCGATTGAGTTTTGAGAAAAGAAGCCCGAGCCAACTTTAAGAAAAGGGAAAGTGATTTTATATACATATATAAAAAAATCAGAGAGCTTTAAAGCGAAACGGAGTTTATATATCCCGATAACAATGCAGAGCGAAGTGCTAATGTCTCTGCGTAGGCATTTTAATTTGCTACAGTCACTACCAATAAAAACGGCATGTAGTGCGATTCGACTGTTTAATAGTGCAAGGTAGACGGCTTTTATTAGTAGCAGGCAGCAGTATGGAAAATTTAGATTTCAGTGGAGGAGTATAATTGCTGGGGGGGGGGCGGTGGGGGCGGGTGGAGACACTGAGCAGAGACTGTCTTCCGGATCAGCTGCGCTGAGCTGCGGGTAGAGCTCGAGCGGGCAGCCCTTTCTGGAGGAGCACCCTGGGCGACGCGAGACCCTCCAAAGCCACGTGCACATGTCTGGTTACACACTTAATTGATGTCAAAATCGAGTGTATCGGAGCTTATGCTCCCTGCTCCAAACTGGGGATGTTTTTGTAATAATTCGCTGTTTTCTTTTCTGCCCCTGGCAGAGATCAAGCCCTGGAGGTGGGGGGTGGGGGGGTCGGGGGAGGAGGGAGGGGGGGGCGGCCCCAAATGCTAATGAGACAACAGCAGGAACTGGTCTTTAGAAATGGAAATACTCAGGCCAGTCCTCCTTGGAGATAAAAATTAGACCTGAGTTTTTCTTTTTTCACTTGAACTATCTAATTGGAAGCGAACCGAAGGCCTGGAACCTGATCCGGCGATGTGAATGTTGGTCATCCGTAGTGTGTCTGTCTCATTTCGGCCTCTTCCTGGCCGAATTCCCTCCCGGGAAGACCACAGATGCCGCGGACCCTGGGAAAAGCGGGCTCCACGGGGCTGCTGCTGCTGACTCTCCCCGCTTCCTTTTCCTTTTTAACAGCGACAATAATTGATTTAAAACAACTGCCCTGAACTGAATTAGGGCGTCCTGATTGGGGTCAGAGGATTGCTGAAACTCACCTGCTGGGCCCTCGAGGCGGCGCGGGGTGGGGTGGGGTGGGGTGGGGGTGAGAGTTGGGGTGGGGCGAGGGGCAGGGGAGTGTGTGTTTGGGGGTGAGGCGGCTAGGCAAGTGTAGAGGGTGCAGGCTGGGATTTGTAGGCGGCGTGGGGGCTTGGAGAGGAGAGCTGCTGTTGGGGGGACAGGCGAGGGCGAAGCGGTTTGGGGGAGAGTGGGGAGGCGGCTGGGGTGAGGTGCCTGGACTTCACCTACCGGGGGGGGCGGCCACGGCCTGCAGGCGGAGGAGGGTGGGCCCTACTCAAGTCCAATCCTGCAGTTTACAACCGGTCTCCCTGGATCTGGGGGAAGGAAACACAGCCTCGAAGGTTCCGCAGGCGGTCAGGCCCGAGGCTGGAGCCTCCTGGTCCTCGCGCTGCAGCCGCGCCCCGCAAGAGGCTGCATGGCGCCCGGGGTACCCGGGAGACAGAGACCCGAACGCGATCACCCTGGTCCCTCCGCGACCTGCCCAGCCAACCGGGCTGGGAAGTGGGCCAGGGGGGTGGGTAGGCGGTAAGGTAGCGGGGTGGGGGGTAGAGGAGTAGGGGGGGCGGGTAGGGGGGCGGGTAGGGGGGGGCGGGTAGGGGGGTGGGGGAAGGAGAGGCTGCGGCCCGGAGCTCTGGCCTACCGCGTTCCCCGCCCCCGTAGGAAGAGGCACCTGTTGTGTTGACCACCAAGCCGGGGCCTCGCACAACCCGCCGTCCCCCCACCCAACCGTGCGTCCACTTCCTAAGCGCCCATCGGTGGCCCCATCTGCCACCCCCCCCCCCGCCAGCCCAAACACCAGACGCCCTCCTCCACGGCCCCGGTGGGGGAGGCCCATGGAGAAGAGTGTCTGTGGGACTGGGTCCCAGAGCTTCCTGCCGAGCGCATCGCCGCTGGGCCCCGCGAGGCGGCCCCCGGGTCGCCTGTTACCTGCGCTACCTGGGCAACCGCGTGCGCCGCCCGCGCCCCCGGCCTGTGACTGTCTCGTCCCTTCCCGAGTGACAGCGAGGCTCCACGTCCTGCCAGAGGCGGTCTGTCCGCTGACGATCGTTTCCCCCGAGTGCTTTACAACACAAATCCGAAAGAGGCGTCAACTTATTAAAACAAAATAAAAAGCCCTTTGCGGGAGGCGGCGGCGTCCTGGAGAAGCACTGGAGGCGCGGGCTAAACCTCATCCGAGAGCAGAGCCCTGACACCCAGGGCCCGCGGGCCACTGCGGACCGCGGGGCAGAGAGCTCACCTCAGGGCCCTCCTGGCGGCTCGCGACGAAGGCGCCCGGGATCCGGGTCCGCGGGGGCACGCCGGGGCGGTGCGGGGCCGGCGGCCAGCCGCGAGACCCCGCGTGGAGTCTCGCCCCGTGCGGCAAGCAGGGACGGACCGGGGGAGGCGGGCGAGAGAGCCGCGCACGCCGCCCCCAGGAGGACCCGAGCCATGGTGCCGCACTCCCGCCGCATCACCCGTAGCTCCGACCCGGGCACGAGGGTCCGGCGCGCAGTCCGCGGCCTGTGAGGGGGGCCCGGGCCGCTCATCCACCCCCCCCCCCCCCAGTGGCAGCGGGCGGCCTCTGCCCGGGTCCTTGCGGGCGGAGCTGGGGGCGGGGCAGGGAGAGGGGGCAGAGTGGCGGGCTGGGGCGAGGGGGGCGGCCGGGAAGGTCGGGGGCGCGGGGGCGGGCCCCGGGAGTCCGCGCGAGTGGGAAGGGGGCGCGCGCACTGGCCGGTGCGGCCGGGCTGCGGGCCGGGGGCTGGGGCTGCGCGAGAGGCGACTGAGCCACAAAAGCCTGCGCGTCCTGCCTCCCGCTCCCCCCGCCCCTCCCCCGGCGTCCCCGCCCCTCTCCCGGCCGCGGCCTGGCGGCGGGAGCGGGCGGAGCCGGCGGAGCAGGGGAGGGGGCGGGCGCCCGAATATGCAGATGAGCCCGTGACGGACAGCTCCGCGTTCCAATGTCCCTCGGAAACTCGAGCGCTCCTTCCTCAACTCCTCACTCCCGACTCCAGACTCCCCCAAACCCCGACCGCCGGCCTGGCGCGCGGCTGCGCCCACCGGCTCCGAGCTGCCGTTGCCGCCAAAGCCGCCGCCGCCGCCGCCCCGCCGCCCCGCCGCTTCCCCGGCCCGCGGGGCCGCCCGGGCTAGTGCGCGGGCCGGCCTGCCTCGGCCGGCGGTCCCCGCTCCCGCCGCCGCCTCCTCGCGCCCGGGCCGGGCGTGGATGGAGGGCGCCGCGCGCCCTGCCCGCTGCTCGGCGTGACGCGGGCCCCCGCGCCCCGCGCCCACCATGTCCTACCCGCAGGGCTACCTGTACCAGGCGCCCGGTTCGCTGGCGCTGTATTCGTGCCCGGCGTACGGCGCGTCTGCGCTGGCGGCGCCGCGCAGCGAGGAGCTGGCGCGGTCGGCGTCGGGCTCGGCGTTCAGCCCCTACCCCGGCTCCGCGGCCTTCACCGCGCAGGCGGCCACCGGCTTCGGCAGCCCACTGCAGTACTCTGCCGCCGACGCCGCCGCCGCCGCCGCCGGCTTCCCGTCCTACATGGTAACCGAGCGCGGGCTGGCGGGCGGGGTCGCGGGATGCCGGGAGCAGAGACCCTGGTCTGTGATCGGCGAGCCGGAGGGTCGCGGAGAACGTGGTGTGGGAGGCGGCTCCGCAGTCGCGGAGTTGGGGCCGTGGCGAGGCTGGCGGGGACGAGAGGCGGGGCGCTCGGCCGGCGAAGTCCGGAGCGCGGGGTCCGCGCGCCCTTCCCTTGGGCTGCCGAGGTCATCTCCCCCGAGCCCGAGAAGTGCGACTCCTCTGGGGCCGGGACGGGATCTGGCCTGGGTGGCCCTCTTAACGGCGCCGAAGCTGGGCGAGGAGTCTTGAGCTGGCCGGGGCTCGCTTCTTCCGGTGCGGGGAGTAAGGGTCGGCGCCCCTGGGGCCTCCGGGGCGATCGCCAGGCGCTGGGCACTTCCTCGCGGGGCTTGGGGGTCACAGGACTGGGGAAATCAGCGGAGCCTCCGCCGCGGCTCCGGGGCCCGGCCGGGCCGCCCAGATCTTCGCCTTCGTCTGCCCCACAGGCCGGTGCTTTAGAAAAACATGTCGGCCGGCGTGCGGCCCGCTAAGTGCCGCCTCGGTCCCGCGCGCCGAGAGGAGCCCCTGCATCAGGGGCCCCCGGGTCGGCCCGCGCTCCTCAGGCTCCGCGGCCCGGCCAGGCCCGGGGACTGGCAAAGTGCGTTTTAGACGCTGGAGGCCCGGACAGGGGGGCATGGTGGCCACCTCCCGCCCTCGGCGGAATTCCAGAGCAGAGACCGGGTAGCCGGGGCCTCGGCGCTGGCTGTAGAAGTCTCGAATTTAAACGTTAAAGGCTGAATTAAAATGCTAATTGCCGCGTATTTGAAGAATTCGAAACGGTGACTGGCTTCGAGTTGCAAATTGGATTTGCCGAGCTTTAGAGCTGTGAATAGCGGAGCGGGGGCTCTGGGGTGTTTTTTTTTTTTTAACCATTTAAGGGAGGGGAACGGGAGTAGGAGGAGGCGGCGACTCCACACCAGGAGAAATTTAGATATCAAGAAGCTACCTGCGAGCCTGTGTGTGCGGGCCTGTTCGTGCACGCCCGTACCAGCGGCTCAGGGGCACTTGGGGCCAGATGTGTCATTTTTAGGAAAATGAAATCGTTGGAAAATTTGGGAATAAAACCGCAGCGCTTTCCGAGATCCACAGCTGGCGTTAAACGACCCGCTGCGTCCTCCGATCTGTTGCTGCGGGAAGGCGCAGTCCCAGCGCCGGGAGGCACCGTGGGAAAGGCGGCCGCGGGCGGGCGGAGGGGTCGCCGCGGTGCTGACGCCTGTCGGGCCCTCGGACGACCGCTCACCAGGCTCTTGTCGGTTGCAGGGAGCGCCCTACGACGCACACACGACCGGGATGACGGGCGCCATCAGCTACCACCCTTACGGCAGCGCGGCCTACCCGTACCAGCTCAACGACCCGGCCTACCGCAAGAACGCCACGCGGGACGCCACGGCCACGCTCAAGGCCTGGCTCAACGAGCACCGCAAGAACCCCTACCCCACCAAGGGCGAGAAGATCATGCTGGCCATCATCACCAAGATGACCCTCACGCAGGTCTCCACCTGGTTCGCCAACGCGCGCCGGCGCCTCAAGAAGGAGAACAAGATGACGTGGGCCCCCAGAAACAAAAGCGAGGACGAGGACGAGGACGAGGGCGACGCGGCAAGGGGCAAGGAAGAGAGTGCCGACAAGGCCCAGGAGGGCACCGAAACGTCGGCGGAGGATGAAGGTGAGCTCGGCCGAGGCGGCGCAGGGGCGCCAGAGCCGCCTTCTTCCCAGGCGGGGCGCCGAGCTGAGGCCGGAGAGCAGGCTGCCCGTCCGCCCGGCGCCTCCGGGGCCCAGCGAGAGAGCCTCCCGCTCGGAGCGCGCAAGCAGGGAGGTCAGGCTGCCCGGAGGACGCGGCTCGGGTGGGGTCGGGGTTGAGGGATCGAGGGGGTGGGGAGCGGCGGGCAGCGGGGCCCCGGGTGCCAAGACCGTGCCCCCCCCTCCCCGCGCCTCCGCAGGGATCAGCCTGCACGTGGACTCGCTCACCGACCACTCGTGTTCCGCCGAGTCGGACGGAGAGAAGCTGCCCTGCCGCGCCGGGGACCCCCTGTGCGAGTCGGGCTCGGAGTGCAAGGAGAAGTACGATGACCTGGAGGACGACGAGGACGACGACGAGGACGCCGAGCGGGACCTGGCGCCGCCCAAGCCCGTGACCTCGTCGCCGCTCACTGGTGTGGAGGCGCCGCCGCTGCTGAGCCCCCCGCCCGAGGCCGCGCCCCGCGGGGGTGGGGGCGGCAAGACGCCCCTGGGCAGCCGGACGTCGCCGGGCGCGCCGCCGCCCGCCAGCAAGCCCAAGCTGTGGTCTTTGGCCGAGATCGCCACGTCGGACCTCAAGCAGCCGAGCCTGGGCCCGGGCTGCGCGCCGCCCGGGCTGCCCGCGGCCGCCGCGCCCGCCTCGAGCGGGGCGCCGCCGGGCGGCTCGCCCTACCCCGCGTCGCCGCTGCTTGGCCGCCACCTCTACTACACGTCGCCCTTCTACGGCAGCTACACAAACTACGGGAACTTGAATGCTGCGCTGCAGGGCCAGGGCCTGCTGCGGTACAACTCAGCGGCCGCCGCCCCCGGAGAAGCGCTGCACGCCGCGCCCAAGGCCGCCAGCGATGCGGGCAAGGCGGGCGCGCACCCGCTCCCGGAGCCCCACTACCGGCCCCCGGGCGGCGGCTACGAGCCCAAGAAAGGTAGGCGACCCGCGGGGCCCGCGGGCGGAGGGAGGGGGCGGCGGGGCCCAGCGGGCGAGCACCCCCCAGGAGCCAGGGAAGGGAACTGGGCACCTGTAGGTCTGGCCAGGAAAGCTCTGTCCTTTAACCGGGAACGGGTAACGGACGGCTTTGCACGCCCAAGTTAGAAGTGAAGGGGGGCGGGTGAAGACAGAAAGTGGGTGGGGGGCCAGGCGATCCTTCCTCGAGACCGCGACAGAACTGACCCCCTTATTACTGGCTTTTCATTTGATTTATTATTCCTGTTGTTGGTGTCGTCCGGACTGTTTTCAGTTTGGCAAATACAAATCGACGCCAAATGTAGCTTCCCTCCGGGGTGAGCGTCAGCCTCGGCGCTTTCTGTCGGTTCCTAGTCTCAGCTCAATCTCCTCTTCTGCCTTCGGCTGCAAGGAGATAAAGCCTTCTGCTTCCTCCCAGGGGCCTCCGCTTTTTAAATCGCCAGAACAGAAAACCAGAGTCCGTTTTCTCCCTCCCTTTCTTTGCCTCTCCTCTGTTGCTCCTAATGGAGGCTTGAGCGGATCAGACCTGTAAAGGAGGTCAAGGGGGCAGAAAATGCGGAAATGTGACAGGCGCATGTCTCAGGTGGCGGGTGGTGGCGGGGTGCAGCGGGTCCTCCAGACGCTTGGGGGTTAGGGAAGGGCAAGGCGTGCTTGGGTGGCGCGGGGCTGGTGGCCGTGAGGCTGTCGGGAGGCAGATGGCTCTGGGGTCGGGTCCTGACTAACTGCCCCCTCCCCTGACAGATGCCAGCGAGGGCTGCACCGTGGTTGGTGGGGGCGTCCAGCCCTACCTATAGAAGGGCCAGCAATGCAAGTAAGTGGCTCCCTGGGGTCCCCCCTCCCCACACCCCTTGCAGAACCTCCCGGCACCAATTGCCCAGCAAATTCGCCTTATGTGTGTTTCTTGCTTCTTGTCATGGGGTCTGAGGATAGCCTTACTTCTCTCTTTTTTATTTTCTTTAAGTGGGAGAGGATTATGCTGTTTTTGAGAGCTCTTTTTTTTTGCTCAAATTCTGCTTAAAAAAAGAAGTCACTCATATTCATTGCATCACTGCTGTTGTTTTCTCTTTGGAAAAACAGATTCTTAAAATCTGGGTATTTGTATGCAATTTGGAACCTTAAAAAACTACGCTAGACACTTAAAAGGCACTTGCTTTCCAGAGCTAGTGCTCCTGAAACTGGGGGTATCAGACCCCTTTCTAGATGACATTTGCAGTCAGACTGGAGAGACATAGAAATACTAGTCTTTTATCAGGCCTGTCCCCGTGTCCAGATGGACTAGATAGGATCCGCAGTTTGCCTGGCTGACAGTAGTATCTCAAAAAGAAAACTACTTTACAAGTAGGCAGAATTACTCATCACAGATCTTGAAGGTGGGCAAGAAGCGAAACCTTTTGAGATGGACCCTTTTTAGAATGTGGTGATACTGATGGGGGCTAAAGGATTTGGGATGACTTGGTTTTTTCCTTGGTCCACAGGTAGGTGTCACAATTGCTTTGGAAAAATAAAAGTCAGCAGGCCATTCTCTCCTCCCAAGTTCATAAATATACAGATATATATATATATATATATAATGACCTCTAAATCCGGACCGCATCTTGTGCCACTGTAAAAAGGAAGGACCCACAGGGCACTGCCAACCCACAGACTCTATCGGAACAGACTTTTGTTGGACATACGTGAATTTGTTGGCATAGTATAGCTTCCCCAATGTATGTGTGACTTTTGAAAACAATCTTTTTTCTCAGGATATCTTGAATTGATCACTTCATTGCCACGGTATATATTCTATAGGTGTGATAGGATTTACTGTAAAATTTATTTGTAAAAGATGTACACAGTAGAAATAAAACGTGATTATAGAACTTGAGTACTTAAGAAGTGGAAACAAATTTGATATTTATTTTTATAATGATATAAAGCTTCTAGTAATTTATGCAAGTTGTATTGCAATGGAATCTAAACCTTTTGTAAATAAATTCTGCCTGGTTTTTATTTGAACATTGCTGGTTATACAATCTTTGTTGGTTGTTTAACAAGAATTCTTTACTAATTTATATCTTAAATTGTAAATAAAAACAAACTAGTCTACAACAATGTGGTGTTTGGGGCTCATTTGTCCTGGAAGAGTCTTTGGGTAGGGAGCCCTGGTGATAGCAGCCCCTCCCCCCAGGTGATCTGACCTCAGTCTTTTTAATGAAAATGTGTAAAATAATCCTTCCCTTCTGCTCCTGCAAGAAGGCAGAGGCAAGAGCAGTACACAGTAGGGAGATACGCATGGTTTTACATTATTTATATACACATGCATTGTAAGAAAATCTGGATTTTGTGTTCTGAATATGCAAATGGCTTGTTAGTGTACATTTTAAAAACTTGGCAAAATAAAATGATCTGATACCCCATGCATTAGGATCCCTTGGACATTTATTTCTGGGCTTACTGAGCCTCCTCAGTAACTAGAGTATTGTGAGTGGATAATGTGGATAATATGAAGCATAAATGATGCCCCCACCATAAATTATTGAGTGAAATAATTGTTTATTGTTTATTTGAATTATCCAAATTGGCATAGATTTTTCAGATTTATTGACCAACTTCTTAACTCTCCTTTTCATATAACTCACATTAAACACAAGGCGAAAATCTGGGGAGGAGAGATTCATTTTCCTTTCAGTGGCTCTTAGCCTTGCCCTGCGGGGAAAGAAAAGTTTAAAGAACCCTAGACTATTGCCTCGTTATTGTGTGACTCACTACCTAATTCTAGGACAAGTCTACAATTTGTAGTCAAGGAACATATTCCCTTTGATTAGTATCATAAAAGCAGCAATACTGTCACTTTAATTTTCAGCAAAATTATATGGATACCCATATAATATAATTTCAGAAAAGAAATGAACAATCATTTATTTCCTCTCCAAAGATAAATTGAGTGAATATAACTTACGGTTATAAAACAAGAATAATAGCTTCTTAGATTGCCCTTTAATCAATCATACACTTATTTTTCAAGAGGTTCATCTATTTTATTCCATGATTAATAATGTTGCAGCCTGAGCGCATTATTGGATCCCAGCGGGGGTCGGCCCGGATGCTTTTAGCTGCTTTGGAATGGTCAGTTGGGGTTCATTATGGGCTGATATTGAACAATTTATAAAATCTTGTCTAAACATCTGCCGGCTCTGATAGGCCGATGTGTCTGAGGATGGGAAATTGCGGGACCAGTTGATATTGACAAACGGATCTCTCTCCAGTGGCTTTTTGTGCCGTGGAAATTAGTGGCCTCTTGCTGGGGTCTTGTTAGAAAGGGTATTTGGAAGTAATCTTAGATACTTGAGGCAAAGCTGGGGGGCTGTGAACTGGTCACAGAGCCCTGTCTGTTACGGGGTCTGACTGCCCAGGAATGCGCAGACCAAGGTTTCGGTTTTCGGTTTTCTGTTCCTTCTCAGGCATTCTGTTGGCTTGGAGTAGATAAGTGATCGGAGGTTAGCAGAAAGCGAATCTCTGCGGGTAGAAAACTGTTTTTTTCTACTTCCTGCCTCCCCTAGTAGGAGACCTGGACATGTTTGGAGTCGAGCTATCTCTTGGAGACAGGGAAGATTTTTCAAGTGGGAAGCCTGGTTGCTCTGTGGCAGCCCGTCTGTAGGAAAACAGATTTGAGTCTGTGCACATAAAAGGGAGCTAGGAGCTCCTTTGCCTGCTTTTGTTTCAGATGGAACCTTTGTGGAATTACCTTGAGGATAATGATTTTCCCTCCAGATAGCATTTGACATTGCAGCCTGAAGATGTTAAGTGGTTTTGCTTTTATTAACATTGGCCGTATTTCCTAAATCAGCAGAGAATCCACCCCCCCCATGATAGCAATGTTTCCTGTATGTGATATTCTAATTTGAAGAGGGGTGAAAAGTATGAAAGTTAACAAATAGGCACTGAAAAACCATGCCCCCTGATGAAGATGTGTAGTGACAGCAGTCGGGCTCTTAAAGACGCGGGAGAAGGAGGGGACCAAGTAAAACTGATCTCCCTGCACATGTTCAGAAACTGAAGCCTGGGTGAAAACTGCGTCCCTTTGGAGCAGAAGATTGTTTTACCTGGATACATGATCCCTTCGCTGCACACACGGGTATGCACGCACGCGCACACACACACACACGCACACACACGCACACACACATACATACACCCAGACCTCCTTCTCAGGGACAATCTGCACCTTTCAACTGGTGCAAACTCAGAGCAGCTCCGGAGATTAGCCCAGACTAACGAATCCTCTTTGATGTTTATATGCCAAACAAATTATCAAAGATTTCCATAACTTACCCACCCTGCCACCTGACCTGAATTTCTTTGGGAAAACTTGATTTTTAAAAATGTATGCTAAGCACAGAAAGCCTGCAGGTGTTTAGAGGGATCTTTCTTAAGGAAATGCAGAGTGCAAAGAGGGCATTTTATGGCTCCTCCGTTGCAGATCCTTACAGAGAGGCTCTTCACAGGGAAGGGGGTTCCTGTGTCTGATTTCTCTCTTCTGCTTTAAAATTCAGCTAATCAAACATTACGTCCCGGCCCACGGAGACTTTCTCCGATGTTAGCGGAGGCCGGGGAGAGGGAGGCGCTCGGCGGCGAGCGCGGGGCCGCGGGGACGCAGGATGGAGCTCGTGCGGTCCGGCCCGCCGGCCTCTGCCCCGCGCCACCCGGGGCGCGTCAGAGCCGATTTATCGGAATTCGCGCTTTAATCTCAGGTGGACCCCGGGGGCCGGGCCGAGAGCAAGCGGGGCGCTGGCCCGGCGGCCGCGGCCTCCCGAGCGGCCTCCCGCGCCCGTCAAATGTCAACATTTGTTCCCAATAAAAGAGTTATTGTTTCTGCAAAGCTGCTGCGCAACTGCCTTTGAAACTTGAAAAGAACTTCATCCACCTTTGTCTGTGGCCAGGCGGCGGGGCCTGCGGAGTGGAAAGGACCGGAGCTCCGCGCAGCCCGCGGCGCCGCCGCCGCCGCCGCCGCCACCGAGCTGGTCCAGGAGGCGGCGAGTAGCCGGTCCCCGTGAGGCCCGCCCCGCGCGTGTTCAGCCGGCACCTGCGGGCCTGGCCCGTGCGCGCCGCTGCTAGTTTTGGGGTCATCTCACACCGCATCGAGATATTATCAAAGAAGTTAAGTCAATTCGATCTTTTGTTTCTTAAACGGGACAGAAAGTATGCCCTAAACTTTCTCCGCTCAAGTCGAAGTAAACAGTCAATCGTTTGCCAAAATCATCCAAAGCCATTTATCTGTGAAGTCAGAGCATCTCTTTCAAGTGTAAATAATACGCTGGATTATTACAAAGTTCCTCCAAGTAACAGTCTCCAATGATCACCCACCATATAATTTTCCTTCAGTTCCCCAGTGTATTGACAATCCCAAGGAGAGCATTCATTTTAACCCCCAAATTAAGGACATAAATAGACCCATTAAATATGTGTTTTTACACTGCTTTTTAAAACAACATTGTAAACACTTTTAAAAAATGTGTTAACTCAAGAGGCAGTCTTGGGAACAATACACAACAGTCTGTGATATGTGGATGTTATGATTAACAGCATTTGAATTTCTACAAATCTCAAAGGGGACATGTCCCTTTGATGTATTTGCAAACCTTTATGTAAGTGACAAATCCCTACAGATATTTTAAAGGCTTATTATAAGGAGAAGTAATCTATGACAATATAATTTTCCAGTTGCTGGAAATTACTTTCTATTGGCAGTAAGGAAAGCACACGCCAGCCCTCCCCTGCGCTTGGGCTGCAGGCGAGGAAGCTGGGGTTTGATGCTGTGTGCTTGGACGTCAGGCCTTGGTAAGTGAGAGGGAAAGCACTCCCACCCCAGGTTTGGGGAGCAAACCCCCTTCTGCAAGCCCCAGTCTACTCTTTCACCTGCGTTGAAAGAGGGACGAAAACAGAGGGACGTTGTCTTAGCTGGCACCTTCACCCTCCACCCTCCAGGCAGAGGACAGGTTTCCGTTCCCTCTGCTGAGGGCACCGTGTTCACCCTCTTTCTAAGAAAGATAAAAACTGAAGATGTTAGGAAGGAGGACTCTCCTGGTAATATAATGCAAATAGGGTGGCTTAGGAAACCCGAGGACTGTTCTTTTGCAACCCCAGGTAAAAGGAAAGAGGAAGAATGGTCTTTGTTTAAGGGTGGCTCCAGGATAATAAGGAAAGGCCTTTTTAAAAGGCGTCCCCATGTTAGTCTGTTCGGATGAAACTGAAAACAAATTAAATGGAAGGCTCTTAAAGAAGCAAGCGGGAGGCTGGGGGCTGCCTCCAGTGGCCGCAGCAGTGGAGCTTGGTAGGCAGTGCCCAGGGGAAGCAGCGGAGTAACAGCACATCACTCAGGGTTTTGTGGGGGAGATAAACTGGCAATTGATTGTGTGTAAGTCCTGATCAATTATTAACCATTAGTGTCAACAACACGGTTATAATTACCTTTGGTTATTTTAAAGACTTTTTTTTTCAGTTCTCTGATCTCATAATTAAGTTAGTGCTCTAGAGGAGTGATTCAGAGGGGAGATGATCAGACCAGGCCCCTCCTGTTGGTGACCTTTAGGGAAAACACATTCACTGCTCTCCTTGTCAGAAACCCCTCTCTCCCTCCATGCTACTTCAGGCACTTTTTTTTCCCTTTTCCTCCGCCATAAATAATGATTGCGCAGGAAAAGGGGAAAATGGCAAACAAATAGAGCGCAGCTGGAATTAATAGGGCTGATCAAAGTTAGTGGGGCTGGGACTGCCCCGCCACAGTTCCAAGGCCCATAAAGGTGCCAGCAGTTCCCGCTTTCCCCCCGCCCCGCCAAGATCAAGAGAAAGGGCAAAGCGAACATTTTAACCCCCGACACCTTCTACCGGGGGAAGGGCGGGCTTGGGAGAGAACCCCTGTTTGCAGGCCCTGTTCGCGCCAGTACAGGGAGGCCGCCTGGCGGGGGCGGGAAGGGTGCGGCTTGTTCGCCCGGCTCCCTCATCCACCTCCGACCCGCGGGCGGGGGCAGCGTCCTCGACCCTGGAAAGCTGGGAGGTGAGCTGGCAGGTCAGGTGGGGACAAGTAGGTGTCCGGGGAAGATGGGGGCAGCAGATGGATGTCCTCCGGAGAGGCGGTGTCAGCCCAGGAGGCCGCCCCGGAGCGCGCGCGAGGAGGGCCCTGGGTGCCGGCGGCCCCGAGGGAGGCGCGCGGCTGGAGGCGTCCAGGCGACCCGAGGCTCTTTAACGTTCGCCACCCCGAGGTTGGTTCCGAGCCCACGTTTGTCTCCTGCACAACGGCTACAATCACTTCTTCAGGGAGCTGTCTTTGCTCCTCTGCCTCCAGCCCCCGGGGGACCTTCCGAGGTTGAGGTCGGCCTTCAGCGGACACCCGCAGACTCATTTCTGTCCCGCCGGGCTCCGGCGCAGCGCCCCCGCGTGTGTGCTCCTTGGTCACATGGAGGCCCCGAAAGGCAGCGACCAGGACAGAAGCAGGCGAGCCGAGCCGCAGATCCCGGGAGCACGGAGACTTGCCCGGGCACCGGGAAGTGCGGGGCGCGCGTCCTCCCGCCATTTCCGGGCTTCAGCCCCTCGACGAGAGGGCCGGGGTCACCCCTCGAGGGCTCCATAGGGGGCCGCGGCCAGGGCCCGGGCCACCCAGCAGTCCGCATGGACGCGCGACGCCCGCCAGGTCCCAGGGGAGGCCGCGTCCCGGGCTCCCCCGACGACGCGCGCCCCTAGCTCGGCTTCGCCAGACCCTGGCCGGCCCCCACTGCCAGGCAAGCCTCCCTTCCTCCCGGCCCCTCTCCGCGACCCCTGCCCTCCAACCCTGCTCCGGGCGCCCTCGCCGGCGGCTCTGGGTGCCACCCGCCCTGCCCCTCGGGAGCGCCGGTGGGCGCGCGGAAGGGGCGCGGAGTGCACACTCGGGGCCGCCGCAAACCGAAAGCGCTGCCCACGCCCGCGAGGGAGGAGCTGCCGCCAGCCTCTGTCCGCCCCCTTCGTTCTGACTCTTCGAGTCTCCGGAGCGCACGGCGCTGCTGTGCGGCGCTGGGAGCCGAGCCCGGCGTGGCATTCGCTGGGCCGCCGGGAACACTCTCTCCAAACGTCCCGCCGGGCGGTGACCTGGGCGGGGACTCCCCCGCACCTCCGGGACACAGCGAGTCAGAGGCCTGACGGCTCTAGAGCGAGCTGCCTGGTCTGGGCGCGACTTCCCACAGGCGAGGGGCCTGAGCCATCTCTTCTCAGAGCATTCACCAGGAGAGGTCGGGGTTTTACAGGCCCGACCAGGCGCGTTGACTTACCTCGACTCGCTTCTTTTAAGAACCGGTTGGAGGACTGTCTGGAGGTGCTGAGGAGCCCGCGGGAACACAGCGGAGCTCGGGGCGTGGATGGGGCGCCTTCGGGCCTGCCAGGCCGCCTGGGCTGTCCAGTTGCAGCCCCTCGGGACAAGCTCCGGAGTCAGGGGATGGGAGTGCTTGAACCAACCCGTGAGCCTCCACCCCTCACTTCCGGAACTTACGGCTGCCAGACCCGAGTGGAGCCCTCGTTTAGGGGGTCCTGGCGACCTTGAATTGGACGCTCGGAGCTGGCAGCGCTGAGGTGGGACCACGGGAGTGGAGTCCGGAGCTTCCCGCTGGGCTGGAGAGGGTCCGTGAGGAAGGCAGGACCTGCAGGAGGCCTGGCCCCCGGGAGGTGGGGGCGGCTCTGGGGCTGGGGGCGAGAGGGTTGGACCCGGGGAGGTGCTTTGTAGCCTTTGGGAATCCTGTGTCGGGCCTGTCCTTCTGGTCAGCTGTGCCCAGGACTTGACCTTGGCCCCAGCTTCCTGCCATCCCACTCCAGGAGGGGGCAGGGTGGTGGGCCATACACATCCAGGATGGGGAGACTGCGGTCGGGGCCTGGAGGAAGGGAGGGGTGTGGTGGGATTTAGGGCCCAACGGACCCCTGGGCAGATCCAGGTCCAGGGTGCTGGTTTATTTAGACAGGAGGTCCAGGCTGGGTCCAGGTTTATTCTTTCTGACTCTCAGGTAGTGAAAAAGCAATTTGTTTTAAAATGATTAGTGATCCTCAGCCCCTCCAATAATAACGCCTTAGCTGGTAATGGGCCCAGATGTAAACAGGAGTTCCTGAAAGGCCCAGCTTCCAGGGGGTGGGGGTGGGGGTCTGTCTGTGGCAGGGGTTGGGGGACCCCAAGCCCTGATGAGAAAGGCTGTTGGCTTAACCTCTGATGGGGCTGGGCCTCTTGCAGAGGAAGGGGCTTATTTAAGGCTGCCTGGGCTTTGAAAGAAGATAAAGTGGGCTTGCAAGGAGAGAGTGGCACAAATGAGTTACAATGTAAACTTTTTTTTAACACTGTAAACTCTACTGACTTTAGATCTTTAAACAGAAGCAAATGATGATATTCTCAGGTGCTTGACCCTGCTGTCCCTGCCAGACCAGCGCAAAGGTGTCAGAGCAAGACAGAAGGGTAAGCCGCAGGTGGGCGGTGGGCTGTAGGCGGGGGCCTTCTCAGCCTGTTCCCTGGTGATCAGGGAAAGCCACTAGTGGCAAGTCTTTGGGAGTGGGGCCCGCGGTGGTCCTGACTCGTCGTGGTGGTAGGGGGCCCGGGAAGCCTCAGGCAAGATGCTCAAGGCAGGTGCTTGAGTGCGTTATGGCATCGTCACCTGGAGTGTGTCCCACATGAGACGACGGAGCGGAACGGGTGCGCGGTGGCCTCCTCTGTAGGGCTCCAGCTCTGGCTCTGGGCAGGGGCCCCGCAGAAAGGGGCAGGGTCTGCACTCGGGAGGCAGAGCTGCTGGGCAGACAACCCCAGACGAAGCGATGCCTGCTGGTGCCCGCCACAAGCTTGAGAGGGCAGGGGGCAGCACTCAGGGTGATTCTGGGGGGCCCTTTGAGCGCCCCAGATGGTCCTCCTCCCACTTCCAGCTCCTCCCGCCCTGGAGGCTCTCCCCGGGGGCTCCTTGCTGGGTGATTCTGGCCCAGTGTCACCATCCACCTGCCCTGTTGGCCTGTTCAGAGCCCAAGGCCCAGGGATGGCTATGAAGGATAATAAAGGGGCCGTGAATGATGGCCACGAAGGGGCCAGGCCAAAGGGTAAACTGAGGCCCGTTCAGAATGCTCACCGTTTGCAAATAAGGCTTATAAACTGCCCCATGCAGTGTGTTTTAGCTTTCTACCTGGGAAAAATACACCTTCAACTGACACAATCACAAAATATGTGCAAAGCAGAACTTGCACAGAAATCATTACCATATCAAAGAGGATTGACTTTAACGATTGCTCTGCACGTCTGGGTGTTTCCTTCTGAGGGGCGGCAATGCTCAGATTTGTAATAAAGACTGTGTAATTCATAAATTATATATTTATTCAATTTTATTCTTGTCTCCTTTTCAGCAGGATCACTCCTTACCTTGTAGTAATCAAGCTTTTCATATAATTTGTGTCCCACTGACAGTAATGATTCAAAAATCAGAAAGCAATTGTATTCAAAGTATACATTTAAGTATATTTCCAACAGAAACTGTGTAGTAAACCAGATCCAAAAAACAAGAATACACTAAACTGGGTGTTCTGTTTTTTATTTGCTAAATCTGGCAACCCTAATACTGATGAAATGCATTAAAAATATTTGTCAAATGATACTTTCTTCATACATGGCTTGGAACAGAGGTGTGTGGGAGGGGAACTGAGGCAAAATTGACAGGATTGAATTTAGTGACTTGCACGGATGGAATTAGAAGTGCAATGGGACTTGGGTTCAAGCCAGAATTACATCACCCAGAGACAGAAAGCGGCCAAACTCCTCCTTATACAGAGTTTCTGCTGTTCAGTCACTAGGTCATGTCTGACTCTTTGCAGCCCCATGGACGCAGCACGCCTGGCTGCTCTAGCTTCCACTGTCTCCCAGCTTTCTCAGACCCTGTCCACTGAGTCGGTGATGCCATCCAACCATCTTGTCCTTTGTCACCCTCTTCTCCTGCCCTCAGTCTTTCCAGTATCAGGGTCTTTTCCAGTCAATTGACTCTTCGCATCAGGTGGCCACAGTATTGGAGCTTCAGCTTCAGCATCAGCCCTTCTAATGGACATTCAGGACTGATCTCCTCTAGGATGGACTGGTTGGATCTCCTTACTGTCCAAAGGACTCTCATGAGTCTTCTGCAGCAGCACACCTCAAAAGCATCAGTTCTTCAGTGCTCAGTGTTCTTTATGGCTCAACTCTCACGTCTTTGTATAACCACTGGAAAAACCATAGCTTTGAGTATACAGACCTTTATTGTCAAAGTGATGTCTCTGCTTTTTAATACACTCTCTAGGTTTGTCATAGCTGTTCTTCCAAGGAGGAAGTGTCAGTCGCTCACTCATGTCTGACTCTTTCCCATGGACTGTAGCCCACCAGGCTCCTCAGTCCATGGAGTTCTCCAGGCAAAAATACTGGAGTGGGTTGCTTATTCCCTTCTCCGGGGGATCTTCGCAATCCAGGAATTGAACCTTTGTCTCCTACATTGCAGACAGATTCTTTACCAACTGAGCAAGCACCCCTTAATTTCATGGCTGCAGTCACCATCTGCAGTGATTTTGGAGCCCAGGAAAATAAAGTCTGTCACTGTTTCCATTTTTTCCCCTTCTATTTGCCATGAAGGGATGGGACTAGATGCCATGATCTTAGTTTTATGAGTGTTGAGTTTTAAGTTGATTTTTTCACTCTCCTCTTTCACCTTCATCAAGAGGCTCTTTAGTTCCTCTTTGCTTTCTGCCTTTAGAATAGTATCATCTGTATATCTGAAGTTATTGATGTGTCTCCTAGGGATCTTGATTTCAACTTGAGCTTCATACATACATAGAGACCCCAACAATTCTTTCCTCCAAAGGATCCCTCTCCAAACCCTCCATCTCACATTTCTCCAGTGAAAAGCTGTCCCCAATTTACATTCTCAGAAGTAAATGCTGCTATTTCAAAACAGTCACCTTACTTCAGCATGGATTTGTTGACAGTCATCCACACTTGGGGCCTTTATGTTTTACATCAAATGACTTCATACATTAACCCAATGGTTCTAAGCCAGGATAGCTTTGACTTCCCTGTAGAGATCCGGGGTCAGTTGGTCTGACGGGACCCAAGCGCAGGACTCAGGTGACAAAGTAAGAACAACACAAGCCTCAGTGGCCCCTGAGGTGGCATCGGGCTGTGGAGTCCTGCAGGATAGGGCTGGCCCTGTAGCGTCTGCGGACTTCCTCCAGGGTGGAGCGCGGATGCGATGACCCACATGCTCTCAGAAGAGCCATGCTTTTCCCGAGACGGCTGACGTCCGGCAGACGAAGCCGTGTGGAGACGCTGCAGACGGGGGCCTAGCGCGGCCACCACGGGGCTGTCAGAGGCCCCGGGTGTCGGTCAGAGGCAGGGCAGTGTCTGCGTGTGGCAGGTCGTGTTGCCCAGGGTGGGGGCGGCCTCAGTCCGGCGGGCACGCAGACCACTTTCCCCCCCACCGCTCAGCAGGAAGGAGGGCTGCTGGTGTTCACAGCTCAGCCCTGAGCACTTTTCTGCAGGTGATTTGACCTACAGGGCGGCCTGTCCCAGCTCCGGCCAGTGCCGAGATCTGGGGGCACGATGGGCAGGGAGCCTCGCTGGGTTGGCCTTGACTCCAAATCGACGCAGTGAGTACAAGTGGATTTAGGTGTTTGCATGTAGGAGAGGAGCCACAGGATGGAACTGAAGCAGTAGGTTTGGTCGTGCGGCTTTGCCTGAGGTTTGGGTTCCTGGCACATGTTGTCACCGCCACAGCCTGCTTTCACGTTGGTCTCGTTGGAATCCTGGGCTCTTGGTAATGGACTTAGGTGTTTCCAGTGTACTTACTTTTCAGTTCAACAGGAATTAAAGACAGGAGATGTAACTTCAGTTTTCAATAATTTCTCATTGGATTTCATTGTGTGGTTGGACAGTCCCACTAGTGAATCCAGATGTGTTATCAGTAAGGCCCTTAGAATCCACCATGAACCTCTAGGGACTCAGGTTTCTGAGGAGCTTCCCACTGGCCTCAGTCACTGTGCAGCCCTGGACGTGTGTCTTAAGAACACACCAATCTTTGGTCTGTTGTCTCTGTCCACCAGCACAGCAGAGTGACCCTGTGCCCAGTGCCTGGCCGGTGTCCATTTTGCGGTGGCTGCCTTGCTTGTCTGTGGAAGTACATCAGACTGTTAACCCCAGGCATAGCATGGATATTTTGGGTGTTGGTGTGGGATGGCTTGGCAGTGGGAGGGCTCAGAGGCAGGAACCCAGGGTCTGGACATTGCAGGGGCAGACAGAGAGGTGAGGGCCACCGTCAGGGACACCAAAGAGAAGGATGGCGAGGCTGCCAAGGGGCAGAGGCCGTGGGCCACGGGTACCGCTCTCCCCTGCCACGCGTCTTCCCTCCAAAACAGGTGAAAGCACGAAGTGCAGGCTCTCTCGAGCCCCTGGCTTAGCGCACCTCTTGCTTCCACTTCTCATTATCAGTTCTCTCTGCTCAGAGTGTAAATTACTACTTGAAAGTCACGTTCTCTTTGAACAAACCCCAATGTCATATATCAACCCCGATGGATGTATCAGTTAAGCTGACAACTCTGCTTATCAATACATTATGCATGTGTTATAGCCAAAAATTAAAAACTGCAGGTAACAGTGTGTGTGTGTGGGCGTGTGTGAGGTGAGTGTGCAACTGTCTGCACAGGCACAGCAGAATTCTCACCTCCTAAGCCGCTTTCCCAGCTCACAAGCCCCAGGACACACACATTTTGACTGGGCACAAACGGGATACTTAAGGCTTCCCTTGGTGGCTCAGATGGTCAAGAAACAACCTGCAGTGCCGGAGACGTGGCAAGAGCCACGGGTTCCATCCCTGGGTTGGGAAAACACCCCTGGAGAAGGAAATGGCAACCCGCTCCAGTATTCCTGCCACGAGAATTCCATGGACAGAGGGGCCTGGTGGGCTACAGCCCAGGAGGTCTCAAAGAGCTGGACACGACCGAGCGACTAACTGTCACTGCTACTATGAGACTATCAAGATGGAAAAGAAACTCATGAAGCTCAAAACCATTTTCATCATGTTAACTGCTATTAACTTTAATGAATGGCCTTGAAGGAAAAGTTAAGTAGGCAAGTGAATGGAAAACCTTCCTCTCAACCTAATATTTTGTTTGTTTAATTAGTGATGACCAATTTGCTTCATGACTCAGCCATCATTGGACTGGGAAAGAAATAGATTAGACAAGTGTTTACTCTGGTTTCTGAGGGAATTTAGGGGTGGTGGTGGTAGCAGTGTGGCTACCCCACGTGGAATGGGGGAGTCGAGGCTGAGATAACCAGCGTCTTTGTGGTGGGACTGAGCTGCGCTTTTGCTGAAGGGCCCGCCCCGCTTCTGGACCACAGCAGCCGCGCTGGGACAGCCCGGGAGAGCAGAGAGCCAGTGGCCTAACAGGGAGGGCTTTTATCCACCCACTGCGCGGCACAGCCTTTCCATCATCACATCTTGGTTTCTGCATCCCAAAATAGACCCACTAAGCTTCCCAGCTGGCACTGGCGGTGAAAGAACCTGCCTGCCGATGCTGATGCAGGACACGTAAGAGACGCGGGCTCGATCCCTGGGTCGGGAAGGCCCCCTGGAGAAGGGAAGGGCAACCCACTCCAGTATTCTTGCCTGGAGAATTCCATGGACAGAGGAGCCTGGCAGGCTACAGTCCATGGGGTCGAAAAGAGACACAACAGAAGCAACTTAGCACGCAGCACGAGCTGAAAACCCACATGTGTCTTTTAAGGCTGATGTCTGAAGCTCAGTTCATTCCAGTGACCTGGGAGAAGTTCAAGAGTTGGCAGTTAAGTATGCTGAAAGAGGAACTGGGGGATCTCACAGAACTCTCACGGAGCGGAAATCTTGGGGCTGGAGGCGCCCCACGAGCAGAGCTGGAGAGGACACGCATGGCTGTGGGACAGCTGAGAGTGAGCGGCACCTGCCTTATCCCCTGCAGCATCTCATTTAGACGCCGTCCCTCAGGGCTCTCCGGGCTGACGCCATGTTCTTCATGCGGCACGCAGGAGAGCCGGGATGCTCCACACGTTTTGTCTGAGGACAGGCCGTTGATGGGAGAGGCAGTGGCTGCCCGCGTGCAGTTCGTACCCACTCTAAGAACTGACTCATTGGAGAAGACCCTGGTGCTGGGAAAGACTGAAGGCGGGAGGAGAAGGGGGCGACAGAGGATGAGGTGGCTGGATGGCATCACCCACTCGATGGAGGTGAGTTTGGGTAAACTCTGGGAGTTGGTGATGGACAGGGAGGCCTGGCGTGCTGCAGCCCATGGGGTTGCAGAGAGTCGGACACAACTGAGAGCCTGAACTGAACTGATCTGTGCACTTGCTCTGAATCATCTCGCCTACCCTTTCGCGCAGCCCTGAAGAAGGGTTATGAACTTCATCTCCACTTTACAGGTGAGAAGCCCGAGACTTCTGAGTCACCCGGATTAGCCCCCAGCAGGGGCTGTGCTGTGGACTCTGCTCTGGGCCAGGTGCGGGCCCCATGTGCTCACAGGGGCCCAGCCGAGACGTCGCTGAGCTTTGGCTCTTCCAGACGCCTCCCCCTCGCCACAGACCTTCAGTGCTGTCCCCGGTGCCAGTGGCCGGCCTTCAAGCAAACAGAGGGCGTGGATGAAATGATGACAGGGTGACCCATCCCTGTGGCCCATCCTCGTCAACCGGAAGGGCCCTGGTAAATGTTCCCAGGACCCATGGACAGATGTGAACGCAGCCCCGTGAAATCGCGCCTGCAGCGCCCACCTTCCCCTGCAGACGAGTCCTTCCTGGTTTTAGCAGCGCAGGTGCCAGCATCCTCCTAAAACTGCTCTATGGCAAGTTCACAAAAGGGGGCTCCCGGGTTTGCAGAAACCCAGGACACGCTGTAGCAGCCTAACCGCCGCCTGGCGGAGAGGCAGGAACGGTGCTGGTCAGCCCTCAGGCCAACGGGGCTGCGCACTGCTGTCCTTCTGGGGTGCTGGGGCCAGGGCGCGCTCAGCCTGACCCTGTGCTCTGCTCCGGCCCTGCACACGGGGACTGAGAGGGACCCCGGCCATTTCTCTGCTGGACCCGTTGGTTTCTTTCCTGAGATCTGAGTTGTTTGATATGATGTACCTCTCTGTGGCCTTCCCAGGTAGCACTAGCGGTTAAAAAAACCCCAAAAAACTCGCCTGCAAGGCAGGAAATATAAGAGACACAAGTTCAGCCCCTGGGTCAGGAAGATCCCCCGGAGAAGGGAATGACAGCCCACTCCAGTATTCTTGCCTGGAGAATCCCATGGACAGAGGAGCCTGGCGGGCTATGGTCCATACATAGGGTCACAAAGAGTCGGACAGGACTGAAGCCACTTAGTATGCTGACCTCTCGGTGTGTCTCTCTCTGTGTCTCTTTCTCTCTGTTTCTGTCTGTCTCTCTGTCTCTACTCACACACCACACACACACACACACACACACACACACACACACACCCTCACCCATGGAGTTTACATTTTTAAGCATAAATAAAAATTTGAAAGGGAGATGAAGTCTAGAGCTGTGGCTTATGCAAACGTTGCTTGAATTTGCTCTCTTTTAACGAGTAAACCATCAGCTTCTCCAACCTGAAATCCACGGGACGCTGGCCAGGCATGCTCAGCTTACCCAGGCAGGTCCCATCCCTTACGCTCTCTAGTAAATTCTTCTCCTGTTTTAAAAACTGAGTGTCCTTGGCACAAATAATAGTTGAGGTTGTGCAAACCTTAAGAATCAGGCATGGTGTCTCTGCCTCTCCATTTCTCTGTCTCTCTCACATACACACACACGCCATTACGTTCCCCAGAGGACTGCAACACTCCCCTAATTGCACAGGAGGCTCACATTCCTGCCTCGCCTGCACAATCTAATTTTGGAGCAGAAGTATGTCTGCCTGCTCCATGCTGTGGAGAAACAGCCCTTAAGCAAGACGAATCAAGTTGACCGCGTATCTCAGGAATACGTGGGACTGTCACCCGTCATCCGTCAGCATCTTGACACTGTCTGTCTTGCACCAGCTGCCTGGGAAAGACGGACCGGGTGGAGTTCACTGGCTCCTGTGCGTTCCTCTGTCTCTTTCAAATGCATCAGGAGCTGGGTGGGGTCTGCGGGCCTCAATTCAGTGGACAGGCATTTCTAGATGTGAACACAAGCATATGCTCAACTTCAGGATGAAGGTTAAGGCCCACTGACTGGGAGGTGCTCCTGGGGACAGAGAGGGGGCAGGGTGGGGGTGGAAGGGCGACCTCCCCCAGTGTGGCCTCCTGGGGATGGGGGGACCCCCCCCCACCATGTGATCACAGTGTCCGGCTCCCAGGCTTCTCTACGGGGGTCCCCCTTGTCCCATCCCCCTGGGGCGAGGCCCCCAGCAGTGCCCCCGGGGTGTGGGCCCTCTTCCCAGCGGGCGCCAGAAGTGTCTGGGGGGGACGGTCCCTTACCTGCTGTTGGCTCCACCCTGGGCCCCGCGATGGACGCCTGCATCCTGAAGGACTTTGAGAGCGAGTATTTTGAAAAGCACATTTCAAACATGGGTTTGTTGAGTGTCTCCTGATCTGAGTGGGCATGGGGGGCACATTGTGGGGGGGGTCAGACACAGCCTCCCCCTGCTCCCCGGACTTCCCCATCTCGCCTGCATCAGGAGGAGTCATACCAGACCAGCCCTGGAGCCACGCAGAGGCTCTGGGACTTGGGGCCCTATCAGGTCGGGCTGCCTGCAATTCTGCAGAGCTGAGAGTATCAGACAACACACTCATTAGCCTACCCTCTGGAAGGAGGGTCTGTTGTCATCCTAGAATTCCTGCAAAGTGTATGTTGTGGTAACAAAACCAAGATTATTTACCCTTGAAAAGGCTGTTTTTTAAAAATGGAGCCCATGTGAAAATACTAAAGAATATGTGTATACATATAACTGAATCACTTTGCTTTACAGCAGAAATTAACAATAGTATAAATCACCAATACTTCAAATAAAAAAATAAAATTATAAAACACTACTACTCAGCCATAAAGAGTAACAGAATAATGCCATCTACAGGAACATGGATAGACCTAGAGTTTCTCATACTGAATGAAGTCAGTCAGAGAAAGACAAATGCCATATGATGTCACTTTATGTGGAATCTGAAATACGGCTTATGAAACAGAAGCAGGCTCACAGACACAGAGAGCCGAGCTGTGGTCGCCCAGGGGGCAGGGCCCTGGGCGAGGGGCATGTGGATTGGGATTAGCTGATGCCACGGGCTCTGTGTGAGGTGGATGAACAGAGTCCTACGAGATAGCACAGGGAGCTATAGCCAATATCCTGAGGTGAGCCATGATGGAAAGATGCAAGAAGAGGTCATGTACATATAACTGAACCACTCAGCTATAGAGCAGAAGTTAGCTCAACATTGTCAATCAACTATAAATCATCAACCACCACCATCATAGAAATAAAATGCACCTCATGTAAAATACCCAGCAATCAAAAGAGTTTCTAATACCGTTAAGAATGGGGTAAATAAGAATGGGATAAATTATTCAATTCATTGAATATTATTAACTGTCACTGCTTGGTCACTTCAGTTGTGTCTGACTCTTTGGATGGTAGCCCGCCAGGCTCTGTCCATGAGATTCTCCAGGCAAGAATACTGGAGTGGGTTGCCATTTCCTCCTCCAGGGGAATCTCCCCCACCCAGGGATCGAATGTGCGTCTCTTGTGTCTCCTGCATTGCAGGCGGATTCTTTACCACTGAGTTCCTGGGATAATGCTAATTATAAGTAGAATTCTTTGTTGGAGAGATCACTCAGAAATATTCCTAAAGCTTAGAGACAGAAAATGGGTGTGGTATCTGTTATCCATGAATGTGATCCCATACATAAAAGGAAACAAAAAATAATAATAATGTTGAAACAGCACGATCCTATGATCCATGGCCCCCACGTCCTACTTCTGTTTTTGGTCTGTGAAAAAACCTTAATCAAAGAATAAGTTGAATGAGAGAAGTGAGAAAATGTCAGAACAGAAGAAAGCAGTCAAACAGGACAAAACAAGAATCCTGTAGTCATCAAGCAAAGTCAAGGGCCTTTAGTTCCTTCTCAAGGGCTGGGTGTCACACTCTGGGCCGCGTCCTGTGAGCTGTCTTAGAGATGCTGAAACCCCCACCAGGTGGGAGAAGTTAGCTCCCTGATGACCAGACCACGGCCATGACAAAAGCCGCCACCATTCTGAGAACCAGTCTCAAAAACCGGGAACAAACCGACCGTGGAACTGAAGACCAACTGTACCTAAAAGGATCAAGATGACACTCGTCAGACCACTAATGACCGATCTCAAGATGCCTGTCAGAGCTGGTGGTGCTGTTTCTTCCTGCAGCCCCCTCCCTGTGCCTGCAACATCTCCTGCCCCCAGATTGTTGTTGTGGGGGGGCGGGGCAAGAAGGGTGAGAGGGGGCTGCCTCCCCCAGAGGTGCCAGCCCGGCATCTGAAACACAGCAAGCTTTCCGTTCCTCCAACTGGACCTCTTTATGGACTGTTGAGCAGCCAGACCCCACTTTTGGTTACAAAGTGATCCCTCCAATGGCAGAGTGCTCCCCCACCCACCCCCAGTATGGGAAAGAGGGAAGCTGAGAGTGACTTATAAAGTTGAAAAGAAATCCAGGAGAGCTCCATTGATTTAGGGCTTTGTCGGTAGAACAGAAAAATGTTCTGGCTAATTGTTCGTTTCTATGGAAGGTGGTTATGTATGGATGTGAGAGCTGGACCATAAAGAAAGCTGAGCACTGAAGAATCGATGCTTTTGAACTGTATGTTGGAGAAGACTCTTGAGAGTCCCTTGGACTGCAAGGAGATCCAACCAGTCCATCCTCAAGGAAATCAGTCCTGGGTGTTCATTGGAAGGACTGATGCTGAAGCTGAAACTCCAATACTTTGGCCTGGCATCTGATGCGAAAAGCTGACTCATTGGCAAAGATCCCGATGCTGGGAAAGATTGAAGGCGGGAGGAGAAGGGGACGACAGAGGATGAGATTGTCGGATGGCATCACTAACTCCATGGACATGTGTTTGAGTAAACTCCAGGAGTTGGTGATGGACAGGGAAGCCTGGAGTGCTGCAATCCATGGGGTCATAAAGAGTCAGACACGACTGAGTGACTGAACTGAACTGAGCTGAACTGATGGAAGGTGGGCTCTGGAGCTTCTCTGTTCCTGTTTGAGAGGGGACACCTTCTGAATTCATGGAGCCAGGGGCTCACGGGAGACAGAATTAGGGGGACTCATAACTCACAATGTGGTGATGGTGTGTTGCACTTAGCCTGATTTGCGTTTGCCCATTGCCTCCTCATGAGTTCTCCTCTGTAAGAGGAGCCGTGTGGCTCCTGACCCCGAGACCCTCTCCAAGAGGCTCTCAGTGCCTCACAAGTATGAACTCAGTAACTCATCCACAGCTGTGGAGGCAGCAAGGCAGAAGCAGTGTCGCCCAGGTTCCTGAGGCTGAAGCACCTTCACTGTGGTCACCAGAGGGCCCCCGGGCTGGGGAGGAGTCGGCTAGCCTCACCCTCACCCCCAGGCCCGTGACCACAGCCCAGGAGCACCCGCAGAGCCCCCGGGGATTCTGTGCACCCCGAATGGAACTTCCACTTCTTTTCCTTGAGAACAATCCCTTTTTTCCTAGTGCGGCATTTTCGTGATGTGGTTTTGAAGAGGAAAATCAGAAGCAATTAGGGTGATGGCTTGCTGTCTCTAAGATGCTTGATCACTAAGTGTTGCATTGGGGAAAGGAGGGCTTCACATCGACAGGCTATTTCCGCTGTGCTCGGAGGTGATAAAATATACTGAAAGATGTTTAAAAATACCTGTGCCCGATGGCGGGACGTTGGCAGCTGGGCGAGGAAGAGTTTAGTACGCTTCACGTGGAAGTTCTTTACTGGAGAAGCTGACAGGTGCCCCATTTGTATGAAAAAAACCAGCTATTGTTACCTAAACCTCTCAGATTCCTTAACACTCTGCTTGACATGGGCGGATAGATCAGGATGCTGTCTGACGGCATTGTTCACCGTTTCTAATAATAATTCCTCACAAGCGCTGCACTAGTGACAAAAATGACCTTGGATTCTACAAAAGAAAAACCTTCCCAACCACATCCAGGGGTGAGCAGGAGGCAGAAGGCCCGTGGGTTTCTTCCCTCTTGTCACTTGTGTGGCCCTTCTTGAGTAGTTTTCCTTTCAAAGGCGTGTCTTATCTTCCCCTGGGAATGCCATCTCAGGAGCGTGAATTTAGATTAAACGAAATTTCCTGTTACTCGCTTCCCACAATCTAACCTCATCAAAACCCGGAGCTCATGAGAAGAGGGCTGTGGGTTTGCCTCCTAGGTGAGCTTATGAAAGACAAGACCTTGGCGGAGTTGCGACCGCATCTCCTGTCTCGGCTCGGGGTGGGAGAGCAGGCAGGAGCCCACAGGTGGGGCAGAGCAATGGTCCGGCCTGCTCTGCTGGGAGGGTCTTTGGTTTCGGGCAAGCAGCGCCTTTACCAGCGTGAAGGTGAGCGGGGGCCACGGGCGAGGGGTGCCAACACAGAACTTGCCCCGGCTCGGGGCCTGCTGTGTGGCCTTGGCCTTGCCCGAGGGGTCATGCTCATTAATTCATTTGTATAACTGCACTGGTCCCGTCACTTCATGGCAAATAGATGGTGAAACAGTGGAAACAGTGGCTGACTTTATTTTTTGGGGCTCCAAAATCACTGCGGATGTTCATTGCAGCTATGAAATTAAAGACGCTTGCTCCTTGGAAGGAAATTTATGACCAACCTAGATAGCATATTAAAAAGCAGAGACACTACTTTGCCAACAAAGGCCCATCTAGTCAAGGCTGTGGTTTTTCCATTGGTCATGTATGGATGTGAGATTTGGACTGTGAAGAAAGCTAAGCGCTGAAGAATTGATGCTTTTGAACTGTGGTGTTGGAGAAGACACTTGAGAGTTCCTTGGGCTGCAAGCAGATCCAGCCAGTCCATCCTACAGGAGATCAATCCTGGGTGTTCATTGGAAGGACTGATGGTGAAGCTGAAACTCCAATACTTTGGCCACCTGATGTGGAGAGCTGACTCGTTTGAAAAGACCCTGAGGCTAGGAGGGATTGGGGGCAGGAGGAGAAGGGGACGATGGAGGATGAGATGGTTGGATGGCAACACCGACTCTATGGACATGAGTTTGGGTGGACTCCAGGAGTTGGTGATGGACAGGGAGGCCTGGCGTGCTGTGGTTCATGGGGTTGCAAAGAGTTGGACACGACTGAGTGACTGAACTGAACTGAACTGTCATTGCATACTGGGTGCTGGTTTGGACAATTTACTCCACAGATACTTTCCTTTTAATGAATAAAACAAGTATTGGGAAGAAGTGCCAATTCAGTTTCTTCTAGAGCTAATAAGAGTTCATAACCCCAAGATTGTCTGGATTGACATGCGATATTTTTGAAGTTAGTAAGAGCTCCATAAACAGAGGCAGTCCTATATGAAGCTCACTGATAACTCCTGTCTGTCTCATTAAGCTGTTTAACTACCTTGGATAAAAGCTTAAGTCAACTACACAAGGATGAAGGCTTCCCAGGTGGTGCTAGTGGTAAAGAAGCCACCTACCAATGCAGGAGACTTAACAGACACAGGTTCAATCCCTGGGTCGGGAAGATCCCCTGGAGGAGGGCATGGCAACCCACTCCAGTGTTCTTATCTGGAGAATCCCCATGGACAGAGAAGCCTGGCGGGCTAGAGTCCATAGTATCCCAAAGGGTCAGACACGACTGAAGCGACTTAGCATGCATGCACGCAGACAAGGGCTCAGTCTGCAGCAGTGGTTGGAAACCACATTGGGAATCTAGCTAAAAGCCTCTTGGAAACAGGCTCCTTGTGGCTGCAGAAATGGAAGTGTCTCACCCTATGTAGGGACAACCTCGTGGACAGATGCTTTGGGCATGAATCTGCAGTGAGGTAGCCATGAGCAAGCACCATGGTCTAAGAAATTCAAGATTGTTTTCAAATTGTGGGTTTCTCCCCACAGAGTGCCTCAGTTTTCCTTAAAAGAAATAGGGCAGAAGAGAAAGTAACACCTGGAAGGTAAGGGGTGTTTGTGAACTTGAATTTCACTTGTGTGAGAATGTGTGTGCAGATAACACTTCTTCCTGAGAACTGTGGCCTGAAGCCGCTGGTGGAGGCTGTGAGTGACGATGCATGCTTCTCTGACGGTGGGCAGGGTTTCAGCTGCGTTTCACTTGGGGCTCTTGCTTTCTAGGGGGCTTTGTGCAGCAAAGCCCAGGCTCTGGGCTGCAGGGTCCGTGAGCCAGCAGGAATCTGGGCCTCTACTATTCCTCTTGTGTGGTGGGGCAGCCCAGCCCACCACCCCACACCCCACCTCGGGCCCCATCTCTGCCTGCCAGTTAAGACAGTGAGTGCCCCTGAAAGGTGAGAGAAGCAGAAGCAACTCAGCTGAGACAGCTGTGATTAAGGTGATGATCGGTTTCAGTACATAGTTAATGCGCACAAACTTCATCCTTGAGCTGCTGGTGATCGCTGGTGATGGCAAAGCTTCTGTGTCCTGGAGAGCAAGTGTCTGGGGCCTGGGAACATTTCCGCGAGGCCCTTGTGGGCGTTCTTGTTCCTGGAAGGTCCCAGTTTTCCTGCCTCAGCCCTGCACACAGCAGTGTGGTCTCACTCCAGCCACCAAGCACTCACAGGCCCTCGGGAGGCTAATTTACAAACTCTTGGCACTATATTCTGAGAGGAGAAATCCCAGCAAACAAAGTAACCCAGACCTCTTGGCTGGCTCTGAGAAAGTCTTGATGGGGGGTGGAGGGACGGGAAGGCACCCTGACAAGGACCACATGATCGAAATCTTAATTTCCATGGTTGGCTCCCCACACCCACCCTAGCCCCGTGGGGCCCCAGGATGGATTCTCAGCCCCAGTTGTCTTCCAGGGCAATCTTCTTTCAGGAAACCCACTAAGGAATATTAGTCTTATTCCATTTAATCACCAGATCCAAACAACGAAGAACCCTCTTCATTAAAGGTGCTCAGAAATTCTGGCCAGCTGTTTCCTACTACTCCATGGAAGATGGGCTGGGGAAGTCTCTGAGGTGCTCCACGTGGCTCAGCTGTGTCTTTACACTTTTATCATCTCATTCCCAAATCCGGGATCCAAATCCGGGAGAGGTCTTGTGACTTATGGGCTTAACTTTTGACATGCTTTAATGCATATTACACACCCTGGAAGTTCTGGAGATTGTGGGAATCACTTCCAGCTAAGTCTTTGTTTTGTCAAGCACATTTACTCCCTAACATTCATGAGCTTGAAGTCCTGGAACGGTTGGGGAGAGAAACCATAGCCAAGCGCACCCGGTGGGCCGAGCACGTGCCCCATGCGTGCATGGAGCTGTCCTCTCTGTGACTCGACTCTAGGGTACAAAGCACGCTGGTCCTCCAAAACGGCTCCAGGGCACCGTGCTCTCTTTGCGGTTATCCCAAAACCTCTCGTTCTCTGCCTGCAACCGCAGAATGGTTGAACGGGAAGTTTCCACTTGTTTAAACCGGTACATGGACAGATCCTGTGTACTGGAGCTGGGCATCGCTGGTTCACCGTGGATCCTGAAATGACCAGGGTGTGGGAGGGTCCCCCGTCCCCAGACTCTGGGGTTTCCTGTCTGCAGACAGCCCTCCTTCACTCGCGTCGGTGAAGCCTCTTCTCTCCTGGGCACCCAGATCAGGGGTCACTCTGCACAGTCACGAGAAGGAATGACCCTGGGACGCGTGGCCTTGGCGCTGGGTCTCTGCTCTGACGGGGATGAGCCCTCGCAGTGCAGGTGCAAGCGTACATTAGTGCAGCCAGGACGCGTGCCTGGGCTGGAAGCTCGTCCCCTCAGCCAGGCCGCCCCCAGCGCTCACCGCGCGAGGGGCCCCTCAGCCAGGCCGCCCCCAGCCCTCACCGCGCGAGGGGCCCCTCGGCCAGGCCGCCCCCAGCGCTCACCGCGCGAGGGGCCCCTCGGCCAGGCCGCCCCCAGCGCTCACCGCGCGAGGGGCCCCTCGGCCAGGCCGCCCCCAGCGCTCACCGCGCGAGGGGCCCCTCGGCCAGGCCGCCCCCAGCGCTCACCGCGCGAGGGGCCCCTCGGCCAGGCCGCCCCCAGCCCTCACCGCGCGAGGGGCCCCTCGGCCAGGCCGCCCCCAGCGCTCACCGCGCGAGGGGCCCCTCGGCCAGGCCGCCCCCAGCCCTCACCGCGCGAGGGGCCCCTCGGCCAGGCCGCCCCCAGGCCTCACCGCGCGAGGGGCCCCTCGGCCAGGCCGCCCCAGCGCTCACCGCGCGAGGGGCCCCTCGGCCAGGCCGCCCCAGCCCTCACCGCGCGAGGGGCCCCTCGGCCAGGCCGCCCCCAGCGCTCACCGCGCGAGGGGCCCCTCGGCCAGGCCGCCCCCAGCCCTCACCGCGCGAGGGGCCCCTCGGCCAGGCCGCCCCCAGCCCTCACCGCGCGAGGGGCCCCTCGGCCAGGCCGCCCCCAGCGCTCACCGCGCGAGGGGCCCCTCGGCCAGGCCGCCCCCAGCGCTCACCGCGCGAGGGGCCCCTCGGCCAGGCCGCCCCCAGCGCTCACCGCGCGAGGGGCCCCTCGGCCAGGCCGGCCCCAGCCCTCACCGCGCGAGGGGCCCCTCGGCCAGGCCGCCCCCAGCGCTCACCGCGCGAGGGGCCCCTCGGCCAGGCCGCCCCCAGCCCTCACCGCGCGAGGGGCCCCTCGGCCAGGCCGCCCCCAGCCCTCACCGCGCGAGGGGCCCCTCGGCCAGGCCGCCCCCAGCGCTCACCGCGCGAGGGGCCCCTCGGCCAGGCCGCCCCCAGCGCTCACCGCGCGAGGGGCCCCTCGGCCAGGCCGCCCCCAGCCCTCGCCGCGCGAGGGGCCCCTCGGCCAGGCCGCCCCCAGCCCTCGCCGCCCGAGGGGCCCCTCGGCCAGGCCGCCCCCAGCCCTCGCCGCGCGAGGGGCCCCTCGGCCAGGCCGCCCCCAGCCCTCGCCGCGCGAGGGGCCCCTCGGCCAGGCCGCCCCCAGCCCTCGCCGCGCGAGGGGCCCCTCGGCCAGGCCGCCCCCAGCCCTCGCCGCGCGAGGGGCCCCTCGGCCAGGCCGCCCCCAGCGCTCGCCGCGCGAGGGGCCCCTCGGCCAGGCCGCCCCCAGCGCTCGCCGCGCGAGGGGCCCCTCGGCCAGGCCGCCCCCAGCCCTCGCCGCGCGAGGGGCCCCTCGGCCAGGCCGCCCCCAGCGCTCGCCGCGCGAGGGGCCCCTCGGCCAGGCCGCCCCCAGCGCTCGCCGCGCGAGGGGCCCCTCGGCCAGGCCGCCCCCAGCCCTCGCCGCGCGAGGGGCCCCTCGGCCAGGCCGCCCCCAGCCCTCGCCGCGCGAGGGGCCCCTCGGCCAGGCCGCCCCCAGCGCTCGCCGCGCGAGGGGCCCCTCGGCCAGGCCGCCCCCAGCCCTCGCCGCGCGAGGGGCCCCTCGGCCAGGCCGCCCCCAGCCCTCGCCGCGCGAGGGG